TGTAACTGGTCTGGCGCCCCCTGTTAGAAGTGTGGCGCCCCTTTTCTATGAAAAGACATTTGATATACTGACGGAGGAACCTCATGGGCTTCATCGTTCTCGGATCCAAAAACGAAACACATAATCGGCAATTATCATTCTCACTGTCAAATCATTATAAACATGGAATGACAATCTTTCTCTGTCGAGGTAGTGGTAGGGTATAGAAAGTACCAAGGCTAAAACTTTCCATAAACAATTTTCAAACAACTCAAAGTGAGCATGACCTACGGTGTAAACTAAACTGATTTCCTACTGCAACACAGTAATGGTACAAAATCAATCAATTACCGAAGGTTTATAAGCGCCCCCCTTTATCAACTGCCCCTCCCCCTTCAGAACAGTTCTGGATCCGCCCCTGCTCGAGAGTTTCCGAAGTGGGTTTGGTTAAGAAGGTCTGAGGTGTGGCAGAAGATCATGTGGAATGTTTAGATTGTCTGCTAAGGGTAGAGCGAGGAAGGCGAGGGGTAAGTGTCGGGGCAGCGGAAGAGACTGGGGTGTCTGGACTTCGAATTGCAAAAGAATTTGATTGGGAGAGGAAGGGGTGGAAGTGGTAACCTAAGATGGTGGATGAATAGATACAGCAGGGAGGGGAGGAGTGTAGAAACATCTTGAGAGGAAGGGGAGGGGTGGAGTGAAGGGAAGAACTAAAGTATAGAGTAAGAGGAAAATCTCGTCAACGTGCTTCCTAAAGTGAGGCCAAGTTTGAATCTGAAAGTTGCCACCTCACACTCAAACTTGTAGGAGCCACCACAACTGACACGGGTCTGTGCTGAGCACTTTGATCGATCATGACCAGATTGGGCACAAAGAGGGTGTAGCTGAGTTACAGAGGGTATCGGGCTGTGGAGCGGCAGTGCTTGGCAGGGTGGCCTAGACGTCAACATTGACGTCGAACAAGGCGGCATTCTTTGCCAATATAAACATGAAGGGGGAGGTCATGTTTACGGAAAGTAATCTTGGTAATACTGACGGAGGACTTACAACGTCCTCGAGGGGAAATGGTGTAGCATTGTACTGATATTGTACCATGGTCCACGAAGCAGGCAACTAAGGAGCTGTAGAGGGGATCACAAAAATTATCCCTTATGGCTGGGATAAACAGAGTACTCAAAAAAATTGCGGAGGTAAGGTAGTAGAAGGACGTATCCTTGTGGAAGAGGGATAGGCGTTGAGTGAAGTAGTACTGCACAAAGATAGATAATAAAGCTGCAGAGTCGTAATAATCAAGGAAGGTGTAGTTGATGATGAAGTAAATATGTTTGGAGAAAAGGAATGTTTCCTGGAGGTTGGGTAATGATCTGGACTTGATTGAGGTGATAGAAGCCATTGAGGAGGGGGTACTAGCAGTATGGTAGTGAAAGGAGTAGAAAGAGGGGAGTAAATGGGATAAGGATTGACAGAATGGGAAGGGTTAAGGACAAAGGGTGACTATATCAAATGTTGGGTATTTACACTATTATTTGAAAAGGAGGGGTATTCTGTGGGGACGGTGGACAGGTTGGGGGGTCAGGGAAGAGAGGGCAAGTAAGGAAAAGCAAGGGTACAGGCTTCAGTAAAGGGGCAGCAGGATAGTTGGATATGTGGGACTGAAAGAGAAACATTGCATGTGGAGCATAAAGGTGGGTTGGAGTGTGACATGAGGATGAATGTGTGACCTATTTGTAAACAGGCAAAGGCAGTTTCCCAGTGTCAGGTCTGTTGGTCTGGGACTGACCTGGCTATGGTAAGACTGGAGTATATACGTACTTACCCCTTGGGGGGCACAGGCTAGACAACTAAACAGGGGAATACCATACCCATGGCTTCCCTAAGCCATTTATCACTGACACAAAGTCAGCCTTTCGTCCTTTCAACATAGCCCTCACACCTTAGGGAGAGGATAGTAGAAGGGGTTGGTAAAGAGAAGGAAAAGGGGAGAAGAGCACTGGGCCTCAGTCTCTCTCCTAGCCCCCCCTATGGCAGCAACAGGCAAGGGATATTAACCCAAAGACTCCGGAAAAATGGCGTGTTCAATGTAGTATTGTTTTGTGAAATGTCTCTGCATATAGATGGCTTTACAAATGCTTGGCCACAAAGGAATCAATTAGTAGACCTTGTGACCGCACCTGATTTCACCTTCCCTTTTGTGGGGAAAACACTTCATTTACTAATGCTATCAATATCGATGGTGTTATTTTTATTATAGACTTTAAAATTATGATAGTGATATTGACTTTACTAACAACAATATTAGATACCAGAAAATAATTCCAAAAATCAAGGAAAAGAGTTAACACTCGTAATTGTCTCATTGGTGACTTGGTACTTGTGGAGCCATCTATGAGTAAATTAAACTCATAGTGGGCATGGCATGTACAAACATACCACCTCCATTAGCTAGGGGTTAAGTACCATCAAACTACTTAAAGCACCATATACCAGCACATGATACTGTCAGAGGTGAATAAAACACAGTAAAATGCATATCAGTAATATATTGATAAGTAATGCTCCTTGCAACTGCTACTCTAGCAGAAAGTAGTGATTGCTCTTATAGTGGGCATTGTAATAACATTAACAATGTTTCAAAAGTATAGAAGTGATTATAGAAGTATATGTAAACAGTTAAAAGGGTAAATTTACAAGTAATTATCAAAGTGCAGAAATACATCTAACAATAAGATTCTGACAAAGTATGACTAAACAGTTTTGCCTTTTCTTAGCACTAAAGGATTTATTGCATTGAGTTGAAGGTCCTTGTGGAATATTTTACATGAACATGCATTTACATAAAGCAAATACCTTTGTGTGTGTGTGTGTGTGTGCAGGTATATGTGTGTAGGTATGTGTGTGCAGGTATGTGTGTGTGGGTATGTGTGTGCGGGTATGTGAGTGCAGGTATGTGTGTGCAGGCGTGTGTGTGTGCAGGTGTGTGCATCTGTGTATGTCTCTGTCTGTGTATGTCTGCATGTCCTCAACTAGCGAAATTTCTTTTAGAAAGATATTAAATGGCTTCCATATCCTCAAAATTCTAATAACAACTAAATCAAATTTTTCATTTTGCACAAAATTAATAAAAAAAGATATTCCTCTTCAGCTATGTAATTATTCACATTAATTCACCAAGAGGAAAAAAAAAACAGGAAAATAAACTTTATCTTTCAGAATCAAGAGACATATGAGAAAAAAAAACATTTAACAATTTGATTTATTATGTAAGACAATGATGAAATGAAGTTCCTATTACTTACAAAAGACTCTAGAAAAGTAACCTTAGATTTTCTTAAACAGGTATTTGAGAAATGCTGTTTCATTGAATTGATTTTTTTTTTTTTTTTACATAAAAATACTTGCCTTAGCCTAAGCTTCTTAAGATAACATTATTTTGGAAGCATTGACTGATTATCCTAGTGACATCAAGTATTATAATTTCAAAAACTTTTTCAAAAAATAAGTTCATTACATCAGATCTCACAGTTATTATGCTACATAATAGGCTAGTTTCTTGCCACATCAAAACTTAAAAAATATTAACTGTTTGATGGAAAATAATAATAATAACATTCTTGCCTACACAACCATATAAACACATCACATAGTCTCTTTAAATACACAAACACAGAAAATACAACTACTCGCAAAGAAATCAAAGATAAAGGAAAAAAATAAAGAAATAATACTCTCAATACCACACATACAGAAACCAAGAGTAACAGAAGACAAAAAAATATAACAGACACAAAATAATAATAAATAGAATTGTTACCACATGTTTCGACCTGTTTAACGAAAGCTCACTAATATCTATAATCTCTAATATCTTGTGTAGGTATTTATAGATTATATACACACAGTGTGGAAAGATAAGTCTATATTTAATCACTCGATGCCTGTAAGCAAATGCTGTGTATATTTACTACAAGTTGTCTCGTCCATAAAAAAAGGAAAAATGCTATTGTCAAAGTAAATACTGCTAATTCATTTTCCATTTTAAGGCACAAAAAACTAGATCAAAGTTTGTATGTACTTCCTATTTCTACGATAATTTTTTTTTTCATGTGAATACTACGAGTATGGAACACTATAAGGTTGTGTAATATCTAATTATATCATAAAACCTAAAGCACTTTCTACGTGTTCTTTGTTCATCTTCATTCATTGTTCATTTTCACTCAATGTCGTTCATCTTAGGCAGCCACAAGCACAAAGTCAATTGCAGACAGCAGTGTAAAGAATACTGTATAATTGCACATGAACTGGCATTTACTATAAGTTGTACTAGACTCTACAAAGAGGATGCACTTTTACTCTACCATTTCGAACTAACTTTTGGTGATGATTTCAAGTTCACTAACATTTAATCAAAGGGCCTCCTCAGAAAAACCCAATGAACATGAAATATTTTTAGACTCATTATGCTGTGTAAATTTATGGCTATGAAGAGTTCACTTATCACTCAGTATCACATCAGCTAGATCAATATTATTTATCTTAAGTGATAATGAATAACTGTCTTATCTATGATTTCCATAATATGGAAGTGGTCCATGGAAATACTAAAAAAAAAAAAAAAAAAAAAAAAGTGTGTGTGTGTGTGTGTGTGTGTGTGTGTGTGTGTGTGTGTGTGTGTGTGTGTGTGTGTGTGTGTGTGTGTGTGTGTGTGTGTGTGTGTGTGTGTGTGTGTGTGTGTTGTGTTGTGTTTTCTATTTTAATGTGTGTATATATATATGATATACATTCACTACTGTTCCTTTACTCAAGTGTTCTTTTTTCTAATTCTTAATTTTTCTAAACCTTGAAAAAAAATTAACAAACAAAAACACTACATTCAACAACTGTGAAATATAAATTTTCTAAGAAAAAGTATAATAAGTACTAACAATATTTTTTTTTCTCTAAACATTTCCCAGCATTAACAACAGTTCCTAGTCTCTTGAGCTAAAATTTCTTTAATCCCAAGTTATACTATTTGTATTAATCTACTGGTACCAGGTATGTGCACTGACCAGTTGTGTTTTGTCAGTTTTGTTTAAACACAAGTGGCTTCACAAGCACCAAGTCAGAAAGATATTAATTATAAGGCCTATGTAAACTCTTTGGTTTACCCCATTCTTTGAATCGTCAGGAAAAGTAGTTTTGTTCTATTACTATTACCCTCATTACTGACATTATTATTATTACAATAACATTATTAACTAAATAATATGTTTAAAAACTTCTTTCCAAAAATTTGGGGAAATTAGGTAAACAGGTAAGATCAGGTAGGCATAGTAATTGATTCCTTGATGACTAAGCACTTGTTAAGCCATCTATGAGTCAAGAAAATTAATAAGCTAAAATCAGAGCAGACACGGCATCTATATATGCCTTCCCCAGCATCAGCAGATTAAGTGATACAATATCCTAAGAAAAAAAAAGTGAAGGAGAAAGACCAGGACATTGCAAAAAAAATAATAACAAATAATAAAGCTCAAATCTCATTCCAACTTCTATCTTTCACAAGTACTTCTGAAATCATTATTATTAACAGATACTTTATAGATGTTTACCTGAAGGTGTACTGAGACTTTCAGTGCTCTTCACTCTAAACCATGAACGTCACTAAAAATATTGAAAAAAAAAAGAGGAAAAATATCCTCTTCCACTTCTATTATACACTTGTATGAAGATTGTATTTAAGACATTATTTCAGGGAGGGTATGCGCTGTTTGATTTTGTCCTTGTGTTAAATATATGACAAGTAAAGAGTAACAGACAACCTAGGAACTTATAACTCAACCAAACAAACCAGAATCAAGAAATAAAGTAGTAGTAAAAGACAGGATGATATACATTTCCCCCCAGTGACTAGGCTATCTACGCTATCTATTTACAAGATAAATCTCTAGCACTCAGCCATCTAAATGCCTTTTACTCCAATTTCTCTCTGCTACCTGGCATCCTTTGGAAATGTTCATATATAAAAAAGGGTGAATTAAACTAAACTACATTCAATTCTCAAAGCAAGACTTCAAAACACACACTAAAAAAATACATAAAAAATCTAAACCCAGCCAAAAGGATGAAAAATTCATTACTGCTACTATTAATACAGGTACAAAATCTTGTATCTTTCCTTCCCTTATAATTATGTGTAATACATGAAAGAAACATCACATCCTGACAGCACCAAAGCACCACAAGGAGATTATGAATAAGACAAAGATAAAGTAATGAAAGACAGTCATATTAAGAAATATATGAAGTGATTAAGATTGTTATATAAACAGTAAAGATAATCACATGCATGATTTCTTACAGCATAAAGAGAAATGATGTGGTATCAGGGAAACCTTTGGAAAACCTCAGTCAAACTCTGTTAACCAACTTCCTCAAATAAACAAGCAAGCAAGCAGGCAAATAACTTAAATCCCCTAACTCAGTATTTCAATTAGCGAAGACCTATGTTATAAACGCCGCCATTTGCTCATGGTCTGTTGAAAGGGAATTAACAGAGTTCAACTGTGGTTAATTCTCAGTCATCCATGGGCTCGAGGTAAGCACTGGGAACGCGGCCGGTTTGGGTTCCACGCTTTGCCATTACGAAGTCGGCCATTTCTCCGTCCTTGCTGCTGTACATGACCACCTGGAAGAATAGTCACAACTAAGTTTTAAGCAATACACTGTTTTCTTGCTTGAGTCTAAAATCTATATTGACTCATACATATTCTATGCCAGAACCTTAGAGTGCAGTGAGTCATACAAATTCCTTACTATACAACACATGTTACACAGGTTCTTTGTTGAACTTTCACTATAGATTTCAAAAGACTCTTTACTATACCTTGCCAGACTCTCAAATCATTCTATTCTTGAATCTATACAATCACGATTCAAACAATTTTATGCCAGATTTTACAGATAGCATTTATTCAAACAGATTCTTTGGTAGACTATCCACATTACATAGATTTTTTGCTAGACTTTACACAATATTCATATAGATTCCTTTTAAGGATATGTACTGCAGTGACTCACAAAAGATGCCCTTCATGAATTTGCATAACAACGATTTATACAAGAAGGGAAAAAGAAACCTCACCTCATTCATCATAAGACTCATTTCATCCTTGCTGGTGGCATCATAGTCACACACAACCTTGGCTCGTCTCCAAGGGCCTCCATCGTCAACGCTCTTAGCTTCTCCGTCCACACCAACGGTTGTGCCAGATGTCGTAAGTGTGGGAGCCGAAGCATTGCTAGTCGCTGTTGATGTGGTGGGAGGGACAACGGCAGAACCAACAGTGGCATCGGGTATCAGGGAGAGGCTACAGTACAGGAATAACACCAAAGTATTACCAAAAGTTAAGAAATTAAAAATAAACTAACAAAAATATTAGAAAACTAGCAAAAATAATATTGACATTAAATGCTACTTAAGGGATATCAGTTTCACCAATAACTGACTGCCAGGTGTTCTTGCAAAGCTCTACAACTCCATCAATGGATATAAAAAAAGAACACTTCCTTCAGAACTATTCATAATCATCTCGGTTTTTGTCTCAAGGGAGTGGAGGCGTTAAAGAAACTCCTATATGGCCAGAATTAGGATATTGTTTTAATGACTGCCAGAGGACAGGAGGAAGAAATTAAAATCCAGCTTTTGTAACACCATAAAACAGGGAAACAAAATAATAAAAAAGGTAATCCATGGCAGATTCTAAGAGCAAGTAAAGGCTGAGCAAATAACCTACAAGAAAACACTAACAAAGTGTCCAGATTATTGGTTCTGACATCAAAGGCTTCAATTCATGACTTTACTCACTGATGCAGATCCATGAATGTTTGGCCACTTAAGACTTTAATAACTAAATATTCTCATTAATCCATTACTTGGTGTTCATGTATTACCAATAGTGGTTTATGAGTTATTTCTGAACTCTAAATCCAGTATTTACTGAAATTCTGGAATGCAACTATTTCAAATACTAGTATGAATGCTCAGTTATAACAATATAAGGTAAACGTTGAAAATATTTTGAATATTATCATTCAAATACATAATGTATATTTTTTAATCCTACAGATATAAGTAACATAAAAATAGAGAACTTCCCATAAGTAATGGTAATCTATAAAAAAATAAAGTATCATTTAATAAAGTATAAATGTAAATAAAGAAATAAATCATTGGTTTGCTTATTACAAAATCAGTTTGTGTATATAAGCTGATAAAATAGTGTTTTTGCATATAATGCTTGTATGGTTAAATCTGTTTGTCTCTCTGTGTATACATGTAAATAAATGAGATATTTTGAATAATCCCTTATAATTATGATATTGCATTTCAATTTGAGAATATACCTAAAAATCATTGAAAATACGTACATCAGTAAATTTCCAAATGAGCCCATGTGATTTATCTCTTTTCAATAATCCTTTGATTTATGATTGCTTCTTATTCAAGCTTATCATTACTTTTTCTAAAAAAAAAAAAAAAAAAATAAAAAAAAATAAAAAAATAAAAAATTGAATGCTGACAGACTCACTACTGTGACATGTCAAAAAATGTGTTCTGTAGAAGAGTATATCTGTAATGTGTATACATGACCTTCCTTAATAAAAAGGGTCAGGACAGGTTTATCCGCTGCCATTGGAAACAAGTAATGTCCACGTAGTTTTATTTTGTAATTTGTCTCTGAACACCGACGGCCCTAAAAGTGCTCAACCACCAAGAAATCTATTCACAGACCTACATGACTTCCTCCTTCCTTGAATTTTCGAAGAGAAACATTTTTTTTCTAATTCAGTCAAAATTGTTACTATCATTCTCATTATCATTAACATTATAATCATTCTAATATTAACAACAATACTAAAAGCAATACAAAACAAAAAATTAAATTTCCAAAAATCAAGGAAGATGGAAATCAGAGGTGATATTAAGAACTAGTAATTGATTCCTTGGTATCTAAGGACTAGTAGCGTCATCTATGTTTTGACATAATAAGAAAAACTAAATGCACATTGACAGTGGGTTAATGTCTTGATTTCTGATAATGGCTATTCAGGAAACATGACCTGCATATCACTTAAACAGTTGAATCGAAAATCAATAACCAATCCTACTACAACATGACAATACATGAAATTCTGGATATCACTTTTGTATTCATGTACTGACCATTTTTCATTCCAATTACTGGTCTTTCATCTAAGCAGAAAAGCCTTGGAGCACTTCATATAACTTACATGGTGAAAAATTCCTACTATGGGTCTGTGTGTGTGTGTGTGTGTGTGTGTGTGTGTGTGTGTGTGTGTGTGTGTGTGTGTGTGTGTGTGTGTGTGTGTGTGTGTGTGTGTGTGTGTGTGTGTGTGTGTGGGTGTGTGTGTGGGTGTGTGTGTGGGTGTGGGTGTGCGTGTGGGTGTGGGTGTGGGTGTGGGTGTGCGTGTGCGTGTGCGTGACTGACTGACAATAAACGACTATGACAGTGACAATGACTGACTGACTGACTTTGACAGTGTCAGTGACAGAGACTGTATGACTGTGTTACTTTGAATATCACACACACACACACACTTGCACTCTCAATAGTTTTAGTTCTAGCATACATGCTTACACTCACACTCACACTCACTCCCACACTCAGATTTGCTCACATATTCACACTCACACCTACCCTTTATTTTGCACTTACACTCAAACCTACTTACATGTAAGTGCTAACCCCAGGACAAACACAAAGGCAAATACACACACAAACATGCACAAACAAAAACAAAAAAGAACATCTTTCACAAGTGTACAAAACAGATATATACTATTAATGGTGCAATAATTCATCCGTCAAGTTTAGTCCTCTTTAAATAGGATTAAAATATTGACTTTTTTCAATTACTTCTGCTTTCAAATCACTCTGTTCAGCATTGGATTTCTAAATAGTTAATTAACAGTTCATCAGGTTATAAACACAGAAAATACTGGGAATTTATTTATTATGAATATACTCAGGTATTCATTGCATGAGAGGTAATAAAATCACTTCGACATTTACCTTCTGTTTTTTTGTTGTTTTTTTTCATTTATATATCCATGCACTAAAAATAAAAATAAAAATTTCCTATAAAGAAAAAAAATATATACTTGAGATGGCCATGACACACTTCATCACATTTCCCATCAAAAGGAACATATAACTTACTATCCTTTTCCTTATTAAACTATATTTTAAGCTAAGTGGCCTGCTAGTGAAATTTCATCCAGACCTATAATAATTCCTCCTGAATACATATCAGACACTGCTTTCATTCTCAATCCATTTCTTTGCTATTAGCTTTTCTCTTTTCATGATATAAAAGAGAGCATTTAACAATTTTTATACTCGTTTAATGCAATACCAAAGCAAGGAACTGACATCGTCTTATCAACTTTCTGTTCCAAATACTGCAAAGTAAATATAATATTTTATTTTTCTACATATAATCTTATTCAGAGCAAATGATATATTCTCAAAGTTCAATTTTCCACTAGATATTTAATTTCTCAAAATAATGCATATCAACAAGCAATACAGTGCACTTTACATGACTATAAAAATCTGAAAAATATAGCTGTCAGGATTTTCAAATCATAATGTACAAACTTTGAACACCAAATATTTTTATATTTTCTTTTCTTCTTCACCAAATATTTTCTGGAGCTTCTGACAAAACCTTTAACATATTATTCTATAAAGATTAAGCAGGAAATATATATCTAACAGGTATTTTTGACAATCAAACCAATTATACTGCAATGTTTCTGTCTAGTTTTATTCATGATATATGAACATAAGAATGTTTTAATCAAAATAATACTGTATGGACTTCAACAGCACACCTAAAACTATTATTAAAAACATCACAAATCATCGCCTTCAACACTTTCTCATTGCCATTCTCTACCTGATTTTTTTTTCTTTGTGTGCGTGCCTGTCTGTGTATGTGTATGTGTGTATAAGTGTATGTGTGTGTGTGTGTGTGTGTGTGTGTGTGTGTGTGTGTGTGTGTGTGTGTGTGTGTGTGTGTGTGTGTGTGTGTGTGTGTGTGTGTGTGTGTATGTGTGTGTGTGTGTGTGTGTGTGACTGCATACACATTTTGTATAAATATAATACTTCTACCCCATCCCCTGCCATCTCAAAAATTTAGTAACAGTATTCTTCACTAGCTTTCTATCAGTATCTTACAAAAAATTCTCTGATCTACAAGAAAAAACAATATTAAAAACAGAACTAAAGACCAAATAACATACTTCAGGGGAAAGCTTATTACCTCTTAAATACATATCAACAATGGTAACAATACGTTTCTTGACTAAATATATTGCATAGAGAAGGGGCTAAAAAGTACCTAAAAGAAATTGAGTTGATTACACTGAGAGAAGATGAGATCATAACTAACATACTGTAGGCTCCATCACTCAGTTTCCATATTCATGGTAACAGTAACAGCAAGGATCACTATAATTTCTTGCAGGCATGTAACACACACAATATTTCTCATTCAGCTCAAACTTAGTCTCAGTCTCACACAAATGTTCACACTCACTCAAGCTCAAACTCAAGCTTAAACCATTCGCCCCGGACTTATGTTCTGTCCCCTGTGGTTTTTTTGTGAATGTTGTTACACACAGATGGCTCCACATGTGCTCAGCCGGCAAGGAGTCTATCAGTAGGCCATAGTGACCGATCCTGACTTCCCCATTCCTTGAATTGGCGGGTAAATGTGTTTTCTTTTTAAACTTATTGGGCTTGGCATGTATTCTTGCCATACAGGGCGATTGGGTTAAGTTCAAGCTCACGCTCACGCTCACACTCACACTCACACTCATACTCACACACACACACACACACACACCTTTCTCTCTCATGTATGCACACTCACTAACCCACTCACTCACTCACTCATCCCCCCACACACACAGTCACTAGATGAGATTGAATATTAAAGCTTATTTTGAGTACCTTCTAAATATATATTATCTTGTGGAGAATTTGAAGAAAATACTACAAACTTCTTAGATTATTGCAAAAATGTCTACTTTCTAAAGCTGCTCAAATGGTTATAACATATCCCTGAATGCCAAAGTAAACATCCCTGGTCATCGAAATTAATATGAAACATTCAGATTAATACTGCTACTATGAAATATAACAATTGTAGTCAATAAAATATAAGCATTCCATTATCTTTCCATTAGGAAACTATATGTTTAACATAAAACAATTTCAAACATAACATGTGTTTAAAAGTTATTTTGTAAACAATTAACAGCTTCATTTTCAAGAAA